ATTTGTGATCAGTTTTTTAGGCATGAATTATTCAATACTTTAAAATGGCCATAACTCCTTAAATATTAACATTTCAGCGTTTTTAGCTATTATTTGTGATCAGTTTTTTAGGCATGAATTATTCAATACTTTAAAATGGCCATAACTCCTTAAATATTAACATTTCGGGCTTTTAGCTATTATTTGCGATTAGTTTTTTTAGGCATGAATTATTCAATACTTTAAAATTGCCATAACTCCTTAAATATTAACATTTCAGCGTTTTTAGCTATTATTTGTGATCAGTTTTTTAGGCATGAATTATTCAATACTTTAAAATGGCCATAACTCCTTAAATATTAACATTTCGGGCTTTTTAGCTATTATTTGTGATAAGTTTTTTAGGCATGAATTATTCAATACTTTAAAATGGCCATAACTCCTTAAATATTAACATTTCGGGCTTTTTATCTATTATTTGTGTTTAGTTTTTTAGGCATGAATTATTCAATACTTTAAAATGGCCATAACTCCTTAAATATTAACATTTCAGCGTTTTTAGCTATTATTTGTGATCAGTTTTTTAGGCATGAATTATTCAATACTTTAAAATGGCCATAACTCCTTAAATATTAACATTTCAGCGTTTTTAGCTATTATTTGTGATCATTTTGCAATACTTTAAAATGGCCATAACTCCTTAAATATTAACATTTCGGGCTTCTTAGCTACTATTTGCGATTAGTTTTTTAGGCATGAATTATTCAATACTTTAAAATGGCCATAACTCCTTAAATATTAACATTTCGGGCTTTTTAGCTATTATTTGTGATCAGTTTTTTAGGCATGAATTATTCAATACTTTAAAATGGCCATAACTCCTTAAATATTAACATTTCAGAGTTTTTAGCTATTATTTGTGATCATTTTTCAATACTTTAAAATGGCCATAACTCCTTAAATATTAACATTTCGGGCTTCTTAGCTACTATTTGTGATCAGTTTTTTAGGCATGAATTATTCAATACTTCAAAATGGCCATAACTCCTTAAATATTAACATTTCGGGCTTTTTAGCTATTATTTGTGATAAGTTTTTTAGGCATGAATTATTCAATACTTTAAAATGGCCATAACTCCTTAAATATTAACATTTCGGGCTTTTTATCTATTATTTGTGTTTAGTTTTTTAGGCATGAATTATTCAATACTTTAAAATGGCCATAACTCCTTAAATATTAACATTTCAGCGTTTTTAGCTATTATTTGTGATCAGTTTTTTAGGCATGAATTATTCAATACTTTAAAATGGCCATAACTCCTTAAATATTAACATTTCAGCGTTTTTAGCTATTATTTGTGATCATTTTGCAATACTTTAAAATGGCCATAACTCCTTAAATATTAACATTTCGGGCTTCTTAGCTACTATTTGCGATTAGTTTTTTAGGCATGAATTATTCAATACTTTAAAATGGCCATAACTCCTTAAATATTAACATTTCGGGCTTTTTAGCTATTATTTGTGATCAGTTTTTTAGGCATGAATTATTCAATACTTTAAAATGGCCATAACTCCTTAAATATTAACATTTCAGAGTTTTTAGCTATTATTTGTGATCATTTTTCAATACTTTAAAATGGCCATAACTCCTTAAATATTAACATTTCGGGCTTCTTAGCTACTATTTGTGATCAGTTTTTTAGGCATGAATTATTCAATACTTCAAAATGGCCATAACTCCTTAAATATTAACATTTCGGGCTTTTTAGATATTATTTGTGATCAGTTTTTTGCATGAATTATTCAATACTTTAAAATGGCCATAACTCCTTAAATATTAACATTTCAGCGTTTTTAGCTATTATTTGTGATCAGTTTTTTAGGCATGAATTATTCAATACTTTAAAATGGCCATAACTCCTTAAATATTAACATTTCAGCGTTTTTAGCTATTATTTGTGATCATTTTTCAATACCTTAAAATGACCATAACTCCTTAAATATTAACATTTCAGCGTTTTTAGCTATTATTTGTGATCAGTTTTTTAGGCATGAATTATTCAATACTTTAAAATGGCCATAACTCCTTAAATATTAACATTTCAGCGTTTTTAGCTATTATTTGTGATAATTTTTCAATACTTTAAAATGGCCATAACTCCTTAAATATTAACATTTCGGGCTTCTTAGCTACTATTTGTGATCAGTTTTTTAGGCATGAATTATTCAATACTTCAAAATGGCCATAACTCCTTAAATATTAACATTTCGGGCTTTTTAGCTATTATTTGTGATCAGTTTTTTAGGCATGAATTATTCAATACTTTAAAATGGCCATAACTCCTTAAATATTAACATTTCAGCGTTTTTAGCTATTATTTGTGATCAGTTTTTTAGGCATGAATTATTCAATACTTTAAAATGGCCATAACTCCTTAAATATTAACATTTCAGCGTTTTTAGCTATTATTTGTGATTAGTTTTTTAGGCATGAATTATTCAATACTTTAAAATGGCCATAACTCCTCAAATATTAACATTTCAGCGTTTTTAGCTATTATTTGTGATCAGTTTTTTAGGCATGAATTATTCAATACTTTAAAATGGCCATAACTCCTTAAATATTAACATTTCGGGCTTTTTAGCTATTATTTTGTGATCAGTTTTTTAGGCATGAATTATTCAATACTTTAAAATGGCCATAACTCCTTAAATATTAACATTTCGGGCTTTTTAGTTATTATTTTTTATCAGTTTTTTAGGCATGAATTATTCAATACTTTAAAATAGCCATAACTCCTTAAATATTAACATTTCAGCGATTTTAGCTATTATTTGTGATTAGTTTTTTAGGCATGAATTATTCAATACTTTAAAATGGCCATAACTCCTTAAATATTAACATTTCAGCGTTTTTAGCTATTATTTGTGATCAGTTGTTTAGGCATGAATTATTCAATACTTTAAAATGGCCATAACTCCTTAAATATTAACATTTCGGGCTTTTGAGCTATTATTTGTGATCAGTTTTTAGGCATGAATTATTCAATACTTTAAAATGGCCATAACTCCCTAAATATTACCATTTCGGGCTTTTTAGCTATTATTTGTGATCAGTTTCTTAGGCATGAATTATTCAATACTTTAAAATGGCCATAACTCCTTAAATATTAACATTTCGGGCTTTTTATATATTATTTGTGTTTAGTTTTTTAGGCATGAATTATTCAATACTTTAAAATGGCCATAACTCCTTAAATACTAACATTTCGGGCTTTTTATATATTATTTGTGTTTAGTTTTTTAGGCATGAATTATTCAATACTTTAAAATGGCCATAACTCCTTAAATATTAACATTTCGGGCTTTTTAGCTATTATTTGTGATCAGTTGTTTAGGCATGAATTATTCAATACTTTAAAATGGCCATAACTCCTTAAATATTAACATTTCGGGCTTTTTAGCTATTATTTGTGTTTAGTTTTTTAGGCATGAATTATTCAATACTTTAAAATGGCCATAACTCCTTAAATACTAACATTTCGGGCTTTTTATATATTATTTGTGTTTAGTTTTTTAGGCATGAATTATTCAATACTTTAAAATGGCCATAACTCCTTAAATATTAACATTTCGGGCTTTTTAGCTATTATTTGTGATCAGTTGTTTAGGCATGAATTATTCAATACTTTAAAATGGCCATAACTCCCTAAATATTAACATTTCGGGCTTTTTAGCTATTATTTGTGATCAATTTCTTAGGCATGAATTATTCAATACTTTAAAATGGCCATAACTCCTTAAATATTAACATTTCGGGCTTTTTATCTATTATTTGTGTTTAGTTTTTTAGGCATGAGTAATTCAATACTTTAAAATGGCCATAACTCCTTAAATATTAACATTTCGGGCTTTTAGCAATTATTTGTGATCAGCTCTTAGACATGAATTATTCAATACTTTAAAATGACCATAACTCCTTAAATATTAATATTTCGGGCTTTTTAGCTATTATTTGTGATCAGTTTTTTAGGCATGAATTATTCAATACTTTAAAATGGCCATAACTCCTTAAATATTAACATTTCGAGCTTTTTAGCTATTATTTGTGATCAGTTTCTTAGGCATGAATTATTCAATACTTTAAAATGGCCAAACTCCTTAAATATTAACATTTCGGGCTTTTTAGCTATTATTTGTGATCAGTTTTATTAGGCAAGAATTATTTAATACTTTAAAATGGCCATAACTCCTTAAATATTAACATTTCAGCGTTTTTAGCTATTATTTGTGATCAGTTTCTTAGGCATGAAGTATTCAATACTTTAAAATGGTCACAACGCCTTAAAGATTAACATTTCAGCGTTTTTAGCTATTATTTGTGATCAGTTTTTTAGGCATGAATTATTCAATACTTTAAAATGGCCATAACTCCTTAAATAATAACATTTCGGGCTTTTTAGCTATTATTTGTGATCAGTTTTTAGGCATGAATTATTCAATACTTTAAAATGGCCATAACTCCTTAAATATTAACATTTCTGGCTTTTTAGCTATTATTTGTGATCAGTTTTTTTAGACATGAATATTTATCCTGAAGCACCCTGTAGTGTGTGTAAAAGGCTTGGTTTGTGCATTCACTAAATCTTTTTTCCAATATCCAAACCACAGTGAACATTTTTCGAAAATTCGAAAAGAAAAATCGAATAGCTGCTCGTCGTTATTGCTATTCCATATCTCCCCAGCTCCAACTACAGTCAACAACAACAACACGTATCAGAAAAACCCACAGATAACAGAGAGCTGGCTGTTAATTTCAAGTTCAATGTTCCAAAGAGAAAATGTTTACCGAAGAAATGAAAGAGCCCCACACATTTGTGATTTGTGGCGTGATAAGAGAGAGTTGCAAAGAGAGCAAATCGATCACGAGTGGCAGAGAATGATATCAACGAAATTGCCATTCATTGAGAGCCATAAATACCGCAACAATTGACAATTTTATGGTAGTTTGAGTTTAGCAAATGCCCCAACTACTGCTTGGGTGTCAGAGAAGCGTCAGACAAAATAAAAATATAAGAAAATACCGGTTAAATATTTAAAGAGTGTGTTTTACAAAGTGCTAAGTTAAGAAAAAAATATTTGTTAAACAAATATTGAAAAAATTAAATTTCATTAAAAATTGCAATGTTTTAATTGTATGCAAATTAAAAAAGAAAACAACAACAAACTTAGTTTTGCAAAATAAAAATTGTTTGCATCAAAGCTCAGTGCAAAACTTGTTTTACTGGTCTTGGTGCTTGCGTAGCAGTGAAGCCGTGTGTCCGATTAAGTGAAATAAATAAATTCTTCTTTTTTTGGGGGAAACCACCAAAGCCAATTTAATAACATAATTTCACTCCTCCCCAACATCTGTGATCCATCCACACCGAAAAAATGGCAACAAAAGAAAGGTAATGAATAAAAGAAAAAAACATTCAAAAAAGCCGGCCTTTATGTGTGTCTGCCCAATTTTTTGTTGTTGTTTTGTTGATTTGATTAAAACTGACATATAAAATTTCTTCCGCATTTGTGAAGGATTACGCTTGCAGAATATTTTTTATTATTATTTTGGTTGTTTTGTAAAGTATGCTGTAATCATCATTGTTTTGAAATTCTTTTGTTGAGACACCAAATTCTGAGTTACCATTCAATATGGGGAAGTGTAAAATGATGGTTGCTCCATTAGCACCAATTGACAAAATAATTGTCTCGAATACCCAGTTTTTTTATTGAAGCCGGTTTCAACCAAAAATGACTAATTTGAGAAAAGCAAAGCATATTTATTATACCCTCAGCCATATGGCTAGAGAGGGTATATATCAAATCGTGCCTCATCGAAATAACGATTTTAGACCCTAGGTCTCTTTGGATCAAATCCGTTTCAGGACATTGGATTCGATATAGCGATGTCCGTCCGTCCGTCTGTCTGCTGGCTGGTGGGCACGATCTCGAAGGGAATATTCGATTTGGTCCAAACTTGGTATATCGTAATATTATTATCAAACTTAGATCGAAATATATTTTACTGCACAGAAGGAGAAAGGATAATCCGATATTGCTCCAACTTTGCAAATCCTAATATTTGCATCAGTTCTAGGTCAGGTGCGAAAACGGACAATATCGGTCCACTCTATCAAGTACCTCCCACACAAAGGGTAAAAGTTTTGAATAATTAAAACTCTAATAAAATGTGTCCGATTGTCTTCAAATTACATTCATTACAATATTTATATTAACCCAAGGTCTGGTGCGAAGATGGAATATATCGGTCCACTCCTTCTGGTACCTTCCTCACAAAGGTAAAAAATTTTGAATATCCAAGAAGCTCATAAAACACGAAATTAATATCCGATTCCATTCAAACTTAGCACATTTCAATGTTTTCGAAAACACAAGATCTGCTGTAAGAATGGGTAGGGATCGAAGCATTCCTTCTGGTACCTCCCCCACAAAAGGTCGAAATTTTGAGTATTCATGAAGCTCATAAAACGCGAAGTTAACATGCGATTCCATTCAGACTTGGCACATATCAATATTTCCAGGAGCTAAATTCGGCCGGACCGAACTTTTGATACCATCCACCATTTTGAAGGAACTTAATAGAATTTCAAAAAAATCTATAAAATACCTCTCAAATGATACCTCTCATATGGGGCTATACGAAGACGTGGCCCTTCCCAAGTAATATTTCGGCACAGGCTTAAATAGGCCGAACTTAAAATACTAATCTTTAAAAAATTCCGGTGTATAATGCCGGTAAAATCAGAAAAATATCGAGGAGGTATCATTATATGGGATCTATACGAAGACCTTGACCCGGATAGACAATTCTCTCTCGTAGACTAAAATACCAATTAGGATCTTCAAATATGAAATTTAACAATTAAAAAAGCAGTAAGTTCGGCCGGGCCGAACTTTGAATACCCTCCACCATTTGGAACGAATTAGAAAATTTTCAAAAAAAATAAAATCCATTAAAAATTCTTTTAAAATCTTTAAAATATCTAATATAAGAAGGTGCCGATATGTGGGGATATACGGTATTGTGGACCTATAAAGACAAATCTATGTCTGCGTGTAAAGTACTCACAACGAACTCCTTGTGTGGATTTTCAAAATACCGAATATCGCGAGGTATCGTTATATGGGAGCCATACGTTATCTTTAACCTATATAGAGAATTCTCTGTCGGGGGTAAAGTGCTCACAAAGAACCCCTTGTGTACAAACAACCCCTTGTGACCATTCCGTTGAAAAATATGGCTAAAATCATCAAAATGCCGAATACCGTGGGGGTACCGTTTTATGTTGGCTATACGATATTGTGGACCTATATAGATAATTCTCTGCCGAGGTATAAAGTACCCACAAGGAACTCCTTGTGTGGATTTTCAGACAATTCCGATGAAAAATGTGGGTAAAATCATCAAAATACCGAATATCAGGGGTACCGTTATATGGGGGATATACGATATCGTGGACCTGTATAGACAATTCTCTCTCAGGGGTTAAAGTACTCACAAGGAACTACTTGTGTAGATTTTAAGACAATTCCGTTGAAAAATGTGGCTAACATCATCAAAATACCGAATATCGGGGGGTACAGTTATATGGGGGATATACGATATCGTAGACCTATATAGACAATTCTTTTTGAAGGGGTAAAATGTCCACAAGGGACTCCTTTTGTGGAATATCAGACAATTCCATTGAAAAAAGTGGCTAAAATCATCAAAATACCGAATACCGTGGGGGTACAGTTATATGGGGGCTATACGATATTGTGGACCTATATAGATAATTCTCTGCCGAGGTATAAAGTACCCACAAGGAACTACTTGTGTGGATTTTCAGACAATTCCATTGAAAAATGTGGCTAAAATCATCAAAATACCGAATATCGGGGGTACCGTTATATGGGGGCTATACGATATCGTGGACCGATATAGCCCATCTTCGAACTTGACCTGCCTGCAGACAAAAGAGAGATCTGTGCAAAATTTTAGCTTCCTATCTTAATTCGTTTAGACTGTAGCGTGATTACAACAGACGGACGGACAGGGCTAAATCGTCTTAGAATTTTACGCTGATCAAGAATATATATACTTTGTTGGGTCTAAAATGATTATTTCGATGAGTTACAAACGGAATGACGAACTTAATATACCCTCCATACCTTTTTTGGTGGAGGGTATAAAAAAGTAAAGGAAGGTATCGTTATATGGGGGCTATACGAAGACCTGGACCGGTATAAGCAATTTCCAGTGACAGGCTGTAGTACCCATTAGGAACTTTAAATATGAAACAGTTCCGGTGAACAATGTAACTAAAATCATCAAAATACCGTATATGGGGAGGTACAGTCATATGGAGGTTTTACCTAAACGTAGACCTATGTAGCCCTATTTCAATACCAAACAAAGACCTAAAATGGTAAAGACTGGACAAAATGCATTTTGGAAGAATAGTTGATGTGAAAAATATATAGGGGCGCTCCTCACAACAGTTAGAAGTTAGCATAAAAATCATAGTTACAGAGCAATTTTACGAATAACATTTTCTGTAAACCAAAAAATTGGTCTCAAAATTGCATTCCTTTGACGTTTTCAATTAATTGAAAATTGCATTTGCTGTTAAAACAACTTAACATTGGTAACTATGTTGTTACGATATCGTAACAACAGAGCTATTTACACCTGGTGACAATATTTTGACTCTGCCTTGTCCCATCTTTATACTTCTATGTCTTTGTACCAAAAGTCCTGCAGACCAAACACACATTTGAATAAAATTTTATCAACCTACTTCAATTTGTTCGAAGGCTAGAGTGATTTCCACAGACGAACGGACAGACGGATGAGCATCGCTAAATTGACATAGAATTTTATGCTGATCAGGAATATATATACTTTATTATTTTATATTTCGAGGTGTTACAAATGGAATAACAAATTTAATATACCCCACATACTATGGTGAAGAATGTAAAAAGGATAGACACATATTTTTATTCAAACAATATTTGTTTGGTTAAGGATGAACCCTAATTGGTGAGAATCGGTTCAAATTTGTAGAAAATCGGTTCAAATATAGCTATAACTCTATATGTTTCATCCGATCTAGTGTTTAAGTCCCTCACATTCGTAATATGCATTCGACAACAATGACATTTGGTACAAGATATCAGGATACAAATACCACTGTCAAATTTAATCAAGATAGGTTGAGAATTGGATATATTTTCAACCGATTTCTTGGCAATTGTGCACCAAATGGCCAATATCAGTTCAAAAGTCCTGAAATTTGGTACATCCGGCTGAAATCATTTTAAAAACAAGTACTTCAAATTTCGTGAAAATCGGCTCAAATATAGCTACAGCCCCCATATACATGTTTCGTCCGATTTGAGGTTTTATCTCCCTCACATGAGTAATATGCACTGTACAACAAGGATATTTGATGCCGGCCATCAGATACAACTTAAAAATGTCTCTGCCAGAAAATGCCTTTTCAGAACAACTTATATATGACACTAAATTATAATTTCCCAAAAACTTTTCCCAACAAGCTCTAATATTTCGAATATGCCCCCCACTTAGTAAGTTGACAATACATTGTTTTAAGCCCTGATAAAGTTTTTGCGAAGTCATCGGAAACAATCACACATTTCTAATTTGTTTGCTAATTTTTTGTTTTGCGCAACAAATAAATTCCACTTGTCATCTTTGACATTAGAAATGGGCTAAATTTATAAGTGCACGCCCTATTTTTTTAGTTAATTAATTGAAGAATACCAAATAGGCAGACGGCTAGGCTATTTGAATACAATAAACTGCAGTGAACAGCTGAGGAAAAATTTTTCTCGGGTCAACGTCCAAGTGTAAAAACAAATATACCTAGACACGAATTTAATTAATTGTGTTATGATGACTAAGAATACAAGTGGTCAAAGCGAACGATTCACCTTAGGCGAGAGGGCGAAAACTTCCAGTAACCAGATGCATTCACGACGTATCAACAATAACTATTTATTTACATACATTTGAGGGTATGGTAAATATTTTATCCCTGGTATACCTAATATAACGTAAGATCTGTAACGTATTTCAAAAATCCACCATCCATGAAATTCATTTAAACACTCATTTGTACAATAACAAGAAAATCAGCGTAAAATAATTTGAAGTATGTGTTACATATTTAAGTGCTTGTAATGAATTTAATCAGTTGAGCTGATAAACAGTAAATAATGCCAAGCCATGCGAATGGGGACAATATCAAGAACAAAGACTGCACAAATATTGGATTCGCAATAACGTTTGATGATAAATTTAAAAAATGGAAAACTAAGAGTGAATATCAAACGACAATGAAAATGCTGTGCAGTTAGAAAGTAAAACCAGTAGGGAAAG